CCCCAATTTCTTAGGAGAACCCAAACGTTGGGGCCCCCTATTCCAAAAACTCTCGATTGTGGAGGCCACCGTCCACGTTTTACTGGTTTACATTAGACGATAGTAAGCTCAAATTGTTTCAGACTTTTCTAGATGATTTGCAGGTGATCATAGAAAATGTGGACTATCAACACAGCGCCAGGGAACAAACTCGCGACAAAAATATTTCGATTTTCATGCCGGTGTCGAAGAAGTGACATGAAAGCTACAACGTGGTAGGGGCCTGTAATCACTGCCATGACCACAAGCGAAGGCATCATAAATAATACACGTAATCTGTATTAAAAAAAAAAAAAATTATAAGCATGACGAATTAGAAGTCGAATGCCCGAGATCAATAGAAAAAGCACCGAAGCAAGAACCATTGCCTACAACCTCGAAACAGCAAATATAAATCGTTCGTAGCATAAATTAGAGACCAAAGCACAGAAAACCGACGACACAAGTTACAGGGAAAAAAAGCAAACCGGAAATAATGCTCAGAGCGGAAAAACCAACAACACGGCAGATACAGAGGGCAGATACATACATCTAGTTAAATGCTTGTGCCCGGCATCTTCATAATGGCATTAAGTCAAAAAAGGGAAGGAAAGAGACCTAACAAGACCACTCCTCGCACAGACATCAACTTCGGAATACCTGCATATATAAATGCACAAAATTCAACAGACAATCTTCTCTCTAGCACAAAGACCCTACGCAGATGTTTGTGTCTTTGAAATGAATTCAGAAACTACAAATTCTATTATGTGTCAATTCAAAGAGCATGTCGGCCTCCCTAGAATACCGACGCTCGAAATACTACACACATGTATTTTCACAGTAGGGGCGTCCTCTCGACTAGCGGCACCTGTATCATGCACGTAAAACTCCCAGAAAGCAGACGCACCGCATAAGGCAAATTACCTTCCAACAGCTGTAAGGCCCCATATAAACAAATAAAAAAATGAAAGTACCGACCTCACACTGTGCAAGCACCTGTATAACAAATATCCCTTATATTTTTTTCGACCAAAACACGCATGCCCTAGCTGCATTGAAAATGATTCGTGATGGAACGACGTGCAAGGTCGCCCCGTCGCTCACAATCTCTTTCATAAACAGTCACTGAAGAAGATACCCCACCGAGGACATATTCGATCGAAAGTTAGAAACAATCCAACAGAGCGCAGCCAAAGAGATTTGAAGTCCTATCAGAATCTCTCCCTCCTTCGTGGACTTGTACATCTCCGATCCAACAAAGCAAACGGCGGCAGCACTGAAGTCCCGACGCGTATTATGCCCAGAGAGCAAACGAGTGGCCGATGCCAGCGGCACATCATTATCTGATCACACCATCGCCCCAACAACGTTTGCTGTTGACTGTGCATGCCCGGGCAATCGGAGCTATGACTAACGCCTCGCTCGTTCCGAGCGACTCGAGTGACGTCCGCCATAGCTCGTTGTTTGACCACCACGATACGTGTACGCCGCTTTCTGTTGGCTCCGCGTACTACAGCTCAAGTGCGACCCCGCAAAAGCAAAGGGAAATTTGACGTTAGGTGTTTACTCGGCGTGAGGTTGGTTTACCCTAGTATTGCCACATAGGTACACGCTGTGGGTGAGCAATGTAGCCGGTGCAGCACGACTGTTAGCCTGGGGTCATTAACGAAGTGCGTCACGCAGTATTGATACGCAACCGCACGCAGTACAGCTCTCGCCCAGATCGCACCACTTACGTCCATATGTGCTACCGTTTCTCTTTTTCGTGTCTCTTAAGTTACACAGGCAAGCGTGAAAGTGAACAACAACTGAGGGTTCCTCCGAATCGATAGTGAATGACGGAAGACATCCCAAGATCTTAGATTCGGTAGCCTACACCGGACAAAGTACCAAAGAGGGATGAAAAAACAAAAAAAGGAAGACCAACACGACAGTCGCAACGACGGGGCTGCACGCGAAAGAGACCATGCGGCCTGCACGAGTCTGGTGTGGGCAAATGAGGTCTGGCTCGAACACAGAAGGTCGGTGCATAAAATACCTCGGAATTAAAGAACACAATAGACGGAGAAACAGAGCTTCAACGTAAAGGCAAAAACACTTCGAAGCACGGTTGCCCTGGGGAAGCACGCCGGTCTTGACCTGTCACCTCGTACTTCCTGACGAACCGGCATGTAATCCACTTATCGCTGCCAAGGCACTAATCATCCCTGCCATCAGAAAACCGAGGGAAAGGAACGCGACAAAGTAAAGGCAAGCAACCAACGATGGAGAATAAACAAACAAAACACGTCACCCCCGCCAAAGTCGACGGAGAGCGACAACGCACCCAGGTGAAAGCAAGACACCTGCATCTCAGAGTCAACGTCGCGAACACAGAAACGCTGAGAAGTAAGACAAGGTAGCAGTCGGTCTCATGCTGGCGTCTCTGCAGAAAAGCCGGGCCACCAGCACTACAAACAGAGCCGACTCGCAAAACAGAAGCAGCGGGGCGACACCAACAACAGAGAAAGAGCCCGTCAGCTCCCGGCCAGAGCGTCCCAAACGAGACCTGGCAGCGCAAAAGCGGGAGCCCCCACTTTTCTCATCTGGAAACGAAAGATCACTTAGCCTAATTGACCCAAGAGACGCCGACCGGCCCACAGAATCAAGCGTTGTCCAAAGCATCGTAAAAACGCTAATCTCCCTTAACGAAGCTCATTCATTCGCACACAGATGCGGGCTCCTGTCTCCTATATTAAATTACGTGGGAAAGAAAAAAAAGGCGACCTCCGCACAACGCGTAGGGGCCAACCGATCGAAAGATCAACCCGGGGCCAAGTAATCGGGCGCGACGAGCCCCAGACCAATACCACAGATTTCCTGTTTTTTTTCTTGTCTGCCAAGTATCTTCGAACAGTCGTGTGTGGGTGTGTGGAGTGGTCAGATAAAATATTCTCAAACGAGCAGGCACTGCCAACTGCGGAAGATACTACACACGGAGTGAGAGGACAAAGGTAGGCGTACGTCGCTGCAACTGCTTTTTTTATGCTTCGCGGTACGCTGTGTAACAAGCAGAAAAAAAAAAAGCGTACTGCGTCATAATGGGATAGGGGAAAAATAAAAAGAGTACCACGCCTGCTTTTGAAATCAGAATGCGACGCGGCGTGCTCAAGTCTCGTGTTAGACACTGAGTCGAGCCTTGACACAGAGCGTCGAACAAATCATAAGCTGCGCGCGGCGCCGACTGATTAGGGAGCTGTAAGCCTTCGACAAGCTGTCAAAACGAAGCCGTCGGGGCGCGCCAGGCGAAGCAAAAAAGAAGGGGTCAGGGGAAGGAAAGGGGCCAGAAGAGATCGGAAGAAAAAAGACCCGCTCGCATCTGTCCTACATTTCCATCAACACACCGAGCTTCTCGAAAATGCACGCCGGCTTTCATAGATCGAGGTCACTGGTCCTCGCCGTCATGGCGGTAAACATTAGGAAGCAGTCGGAAATGTACGCAACAGCCTCTTTCTTTCTTTTTTCGCCTTCCTAGTTCGTTTCCGCTAACGATGCCCGCCACCAAGGCACGGAAATTGGGGAAACGCGACGCCACCTCGGGATCGACGCCACCTCTGCGTACTTCCTTTCTGCTTGGTCTGTGCGAAAGTTCCTCGTTTTTTTACCGGTTTTCCAGTGAATGAATCTCAAAGGGTCGAGACTAGTGTCGTGTGTGAGTTCTACACTCCCTGCGTGGGCCCGAAAACTTTGCGATATCTCTCAGCCGGTCAGCGGCCTCACTCGATCATCACTGCGTGGCGAGGTAGCAACAGAAAGGGGCGCGATCGGCGATAAAAGCGGCGTAATCGGGTGCACGAACGCCGGAATCCACGAAAAGACCGACGCGTACGATGCTCTTGAAAAAAAGAAGAAAAAAAAAAGGAGCGGGCCGATTACCAGCACGGGCGACTGGGCCATCCCGCGACAGGGCCCCCCTCGCTCCGTGAGCGGAAATTTTAGCGTGCCCGGGGGGCACAGCGTGCCCAGTGCCTCGCGGGCGACGCCCGGGCCCGAAGTCGTGCCCGTGGCCGAAATGCCAGGCCCCCGATGTGTTGGGATGCTGGAGCAGTAATCCGTTAGGCCTAAGTGGACAGAGAGCAACGATTCCCGCGGACCGGAGCAGCAGCAGCGGCGGCATCGGCCAGCGCAAACAAGGCGCGCCGACCGCCGGCGGCCCATCGATTGCCGAGCCGGCGGGCCGCCGTCGAGGGGGGGGGTCCCGGGCCCGAAACACCGTCCCCGGGCCCCGAAAGGTCCCCCACAGGGCCCGAGGGCCGTCGCAGGCCCATCCGGACGCTGACAACCGCGCACCGAGGGCCGGAGGAGAGCGAGGTTAGGCCTACTTACCTCCAGCTCCTCGTAGGTCCTGAAGCTGAGAATGGCAAAGCCGTCGATCACATCCTCTTCGAAGACGGGCTCCTTATTCCGTTTCTTTCGCGTCGGGGGCCTGGGCGGCTTGGAGCGGCCCGGCGACTCGTCGCCGTCGTCGCCGCTCTGCTGGCCGCAGCGCACCGCCTGCTGCTTGTGCATCCTTCTTTCGCGGCGCCGAGACCGGGAGCCCCGCACTCCCTTGGCTGCTTCGCCTTCCATGGCGACAGACAACGCGGCGGCGGCCGCCGTCTCAACCGCCGCGCCGTCCACACCACACGCAGACACACATCCGCCGGCGGTAATCCACGGTCAGCGAGGCACGGATCCTGGCACTGCACTTGATCACCGCAATCAGCGTCCAACGCTGCGATTTGGACCGCTAACGCCGACCGACCACTCGACACGAAACCCAATTGTTCGCTTCAAATGGCGGAGGGAGATGGCCCAAGAGAGAGAGGACCGCAGCACGCCGCGGCTTGCTCAGGACGGAAGTCACTCCGCGGGGCAGCCTCGGAAAAGTAGTGCCCGCCTGCAGCCGACGCCGCTGCTGCTGCCGCTCTCCCCTCCGCCGGAATGCGCGGTGCTCTCCTCGCCGGCTCTCCCTCCGTGCTCGTCGTCGGCGCTCGCTCTTCGGCCGCCCTACCTCCGAGATACAATTAGGCGGCCGGCTCATTTACGCGCGATCAATGCGCAACACAGGCTCTAAATCACGCTTCTTCGCCGCGCGCTGGCCCGTCGCTCGCTGCCATCTTCGGTTCGGTGGTAAGTCACGTACGAGTGACCCCTTTTCCAAAAGAATGTGGGAACTGCGGGCTCGGACCTCGGGGCCGAACTCGTTCGCCCAGCTTTCTTCTCTTCCTGCATCTTCTACCCTGCTTTTATTTCGCTGGGCCTACGGGGCCAATTTTAGCGAGTTTCTACGCACTTCTTCTCGTCAATGCGTCTGAACACCTACTTTGTCTTTTTTTCCCCGCATTTGATGTCGTGACACTGAAGGGCATAAAATTATCGTGTTTGCTTTGTACCACGCGTGTAGAACTCTGGTTTCAGGCTTCAGCTAATAATAACTCGTTCTGGTCACGACTCACTGGAACGAGTTCGCGAGCAAAATAGCTTTAGCCAGAAATCGCGATGACTTCGTGTCACTGTTTCGAGTCAAAATGACTCGCTGCTTGCACGCTTGGCTAATCGCTTGTTTGGAAGCAGCACTTGTGCTTTTCTTTTTCCCAATATGTGCGCGTTGGTGCCTGTCATGATTTGTTGCGAATTCATCTTTGATATTCGCTTTGGAGTGATCCTTTTTTTTATTATTAATATGTTTTGTATACCTACTGGAATAATTCTTATAACACGCTCGTTTATGTAATGCCCCACCGGGGCCTATAAAGGCATTTAAATAAATACATTTCCTTCGTTCTTTCGTCATTTGGTCCTCGAGTTTTACCACCTTTCTCAACCGGAGGACGGCTTTCTTCTCTCTAACTTCCAGCTCACTAGAAAGCTTGAATCACGCAATGTGCAAGGAGACAGCGTTCCCGACCGTCTTTGGGGTTTGTCGGCTATAGACGAGAGCGCACGTAATCAATTTGCCCAACTACCTTTTCAAACTCTGGAACGCGTGTACCTATTCCGCACTCGCTCGAAAGACCCACATCTGAATAGCCCGTCTAAATTCCACGAGAGATACATCTGAAAGAAACTTGCGGTTCCCAGAACATGTGCTCCTCAACGGACGCGTGTTGATTTACCGGGCGCCCTCTGCCGACTTGCGCGGGCTCTTTCCTCGCCTTTCCCGTTTGCCGATATTCCAATTTGAGGGAGTAATTTTCTCCTGGAAGCACCTTTGAAGTTTTCGAGCGCGGCTCCGAGCAGCGAAGCGATGAAATCCTCGCCGTTTTTGCGTCGCGGACGTGACCCGCATTCTCGGCGAAGAGTCGATCGCGAGCCGACGGGCGGCAAATATTTACCGGTACGTTTCGTTTCCCCCTTTGGAACGCCACTTTTTGCTTCGTCGTCATTTCGCTGATACGAACAATGAATATCACCGTAATGAAAAAAGAAAGTGGTGTAGAGTGCGTTCTCGAGCCTGCCGCTTATCTACCAGTGTTGCGGAGTTACCACTCCGGAGTTGGAATGATTCCGGAATCATTCCGCATTTTCGCGACCCCGGAATGGAATGGGAATGGAATGGCGGCAACGTTCAGGGGAATGGAATGGGAATGGAATTAGATGCCTTTTGCCCGGAATGGAATGGGAATGGAATGGGTGAGGTTCTTTATATTTTATTTATTTATTTATTTATTTATTTATTTATTTATTTATTTATTTTTTACGTTCAGCTATACCGAGCCAGTCAGGGAGTCGGTTGTTCAGAAATAAAATGAGCAGGAAACTGCGAACCCGCGTAAGGCCCTAGCAGACCTATGCGCAAAAGAAAAAAATGCAATACAAAAAACAAGCGTCAAAGCAAAGAACAGAGGGGGGAGGGGAGGGGGGGGAGGGGAGGCGGCGGTGGCGCCATTCACCAGTGAAGTTCAACACATATCCGAATGCGTCTGCGCCTGTAATATTGCACGGCTGGTAGGTCATCAGCCGACATGAACGTGACTTGCTGCTCTGGTGATCCGATACCCAGGAAGGAGGCCAGACGTGGCCTCGCTGTGCGGACCCAGACTTCGTACACTTTCGACTCGTCTCGAGTGCGCTGTTTCTCGAAGAGCTCGCACCTGTGCCGGCCATCTCAGGTCGCAATCCACGAGGTCTCTGTTTGAATGATGCTAGGCGAAACTTGAAGACTGCCATTAATGCGTTGGAGGCGGAGAGTCGGCAGCAAGGACCGTCACAACAGGAATGCCACCATATCGATTTTTCAACCGTAACAGAAGATAATACATGTGTTTCAGGATGCTTCAGGTGGTCCACTTTTCTCGAAAATTCCAAATGCAACTGCTTGCATAGTCTTCAACGAGATCAGCTACAACGAGAGTATGTATTGTCCTTTGATACAGCAGCGTCGGTAAAGTTTCATGTTCAAGGCAACACCTACAGGTTCAAGAATACTAGTTCATCCAACCGTGACGTCATGTGATCAGTGCTGACAGGGGCGCCCTTATTGGACAGGGAAGTGGTGATGTCTTGATGGAATTTATTTTAGAGGTCGAAGTCTTTTCGCATCACTGGGTCAGTCAGACAGGATGCCAGGGAAGGGACCGTGGTCAATCCTTGATGGAACGTTTTTAAATCCATTTAGGACTCTTCGTCCGGAACCACTACCTTCAAGGCGAAGTGCCAAGCCTGCGGAAAAGTAATTTCGGGACGAAAAAAAAAAGAAACTTCCACTTCAAACTTAAAGCCTCATTTCAGTTGGCGTCTCAAAGAAATTTGAAGAATGTATTGTATTATCAGTATTTCTATTTCTGCCCTCCCTAAAATGTATTCTTGTATTTGTATTTCCCAAGACTCTTTGCCTCTTTTTGAGATGTATTTCCGATACGTATCACGATACATTTTTATAGATATATTTGAGACTTGAGTATCAGTATCTTAGCAACTATTTTCATCTATCCCAGTATTTGTATTTCTAAATACATTTCTGAATATTTCTGCCCAACCCTGTAACGTAATGCAGCTGTCAAATTACACTTTTAGCGTTTAGGAATTGGAGGAATGGAATGGAGCGACTCAGCCATTCCAGGAGTAGGAATGTGCCCCGTGTCCCCATTCCTAGGAGTTGAAAGGAATGGAATTATCGAAAACTCTAATTCCCCGGAATGGAATTGGAATGGAATGGGGGTGCCCATTCCGCAACACTGTTATCTACAGTGACTGTACAACGAAACGCGCGAGAACTGGAGGTCGCTGGGTAAATTCAGGGTTGATTTGATGGAGTGAATTGGCGCCCACAATCTAGAACCGTCTGTCAAAGCAAAAAAAAAATAATATTGGATGTATATGGTACGTGCTCTTACAAATATGAAATTTGTTCAAACTGGCTAAGGTTGCGTGTTTTCGGTAAGTACCGAAAAACCCCGAAAAACAATCTTCGGGGTAGTTTCATCAAAATCGAGGAAAACTGAAAAGAAAAAAAAAACACCGAAGTAGGGACATTTTTACGTCAACAAAAATAAATAAAATGAAACACGTTTTTTCTAAATATTTGTTTTTGTTCTACAGCGTCATTTTGTGTTTACTGGAAACAATACAACTCCCACAAACTGTCCGCAACGATGCTTCTTTCTACGGCAGTCACACTACTTATATATCTATATTGTGTATATATATATTTTTTTCTTCTTTTTTGACGGGGCATTTTTTAAGTGTTCGGGTCACGCACACGTTTCAAGAATGTTTGGGAATCCCATGCAAATGTTTTGTTTTCTTCAATAGAACCCCCGACAAGCATCAATTTTTCTCTGACGCCGAAAGCAAACACTAAAAAACAGGAATCTTGTTTCATTTTATTTATTTTTTTTAACTATGAATTACGAAAAAAAATTCCCCAGAATTCAAGAGGAAAGAAACCGAAAGCATGGAACTTTGATAATGAGTAATGAATTCAACCGTGTACTTGCAACGCTGTGCCGTTCGACTCAGCTTTCGGTGTGACGCCTTCACGTGACCGGCTTCCTTGCATGTGACCGATGGCGCAACAGGCGAGTAATTTTTAGCTTAATTGCAGTAACGAAGCAAAGCGGTTAGTTGGCCCGGCTGGCTCTACCGGATGCTTTACGTTACTTATTTAGAGTGACGGGTGACGTTGTGTCGTTATTCGTTACGCTTTACATCTTGTTACATCATCATAACATCAAAATCAAAACTTACAAAAAATTATGTTAAGTATTTGAATGCATGGGTTGTCGGCAGGGGGCGTGCTAAAGGAGCGGTTGCCTCTTTGCACACTCCCGCCGAATTTTTTTTTTCTTTTTAATTTACAGTTGTATTGAAAAAATGGTCTAAATTATTAAATAACTGGTGGTTCCTTCGTCGGCACTAACTAGGTTTCCTGTTCCATGTAAGGCCTTCTTCGGACGGGGCAACTTTCCCACCGTTTTCGGTGTTGCTGGCGCGTTGTCCTCTAGCTTTCCCTATAATGCGACACGAATTGCTGGGATCGCGTCCGGCTCGAAACGGACGAGCAACTCGGACAGCTCGGAGACGTTTGAAGCGGCAGCAGTCAATCAGGGACGCGATATTTTCCCGCGACACCCCGTGCCGGTGATGATGACAACTAAACACTTGGTTTGAAGTTGGTCGTTTTAGGGAATAACCCGTTTCAAGAAGATGAGTTAGCATTCTCAACGTCCTTTAAAGGTATACAAACACGTTTATAGCGCGTAACTCTGTATCTACATAGCGGAAGAAAATTAAAGTGTAATGACAGTGATGGAAAATCGCCGCAATAGGTTGCTGGGGTTTGAACTCGGTCCGCCCGTGTTGCTGGTGTTTCAGCGTCGAGTTGCTGGGAGAAACTGCCCTCGTCTGAAACGGGCCTCATCGGATCAATCCGAAGATCCCCGAGATACACCTGTCGCTAACGTTTCCGTCAATTCGGAGTGATCTAAAAAACTCGTAATTTCGAGGACAAAACAACAAAATAATGCACGCACAATATATATATATATATATATATATATATATATATATATATATATATATATATATCTGTGTGTGTTTGTAAGAGCACGTAGTCAGTGGCCCTGAGGAGATGCCACTTCAGTTTCCTTTGAAATCTGGAACTACTGACAAAAAGGGGTTTGACTTTTAGCTCATCGAAGTTCCTTCGGGACAACAACTTATTATACTGGTTTTTTATCTGTTTTCTTTTTTTTTTTCTTTTCTTTTTTCGGGGGGGGGGGGGGGGGGGGGGGAACAAAGTCAAATAAACTTTGAATTTAAGAGTATTGGGAATCTAAGAAGAATAAACTGCGATGAACCCCGAATTTTCAGCGAAAAATGACCTTGGAAGAACCCCCTCCTCCGAATTCACGAGAAATACACTGCAAAAAACAGGGAATCCCTGTGGTTGCGAAACGTTCATGCCCCGTTCGCCATGCACGAGAGGTCCGGTCTGCGGAAAACAAATCGAGACTCGTCGTAATACTCTCGAATGGCGTTTTTTACACAAGCGATTAGAACTGCACACTTCACAATGTTTATTTCAACATTTGCGTCAAAATCTATTAGTATCACATATCGTAAAAATGTCGCGGGAATGTGCGTGTTGGGACGCAGGAATATACAACCTCCGTGATCAGTTTAGGCTGTTTCCTAATTATGTAAATTGCAAAAAAAAAAAAATAAATAAAATAATAATAATAAGAATAAAGAAAAATAAAGAAAAATAATAATCAATCTTGCAACTTTGTTTTCTTTTTTTTCTTTTTTTTTTTCCTTTTGACCCGCACCGAGATAGAATCCTGCCGACGCCCACGTCTGAATGGACATGTTTTTGGAAAGATGATGCTTACTGCATACCTGTAACGTTTTAATTCGCGAATAAAAAGTAAAAGTAACGCGCGTTACTCATGGTCGGTAATGGTAACGCGTTCCTTTTATTTAAAAGAAACGTGGGTCGGTAACGCGTTCCTTTCGCTACCAAGTAACGAGTAGCGTATTTGGTTACGTGGTTGTCTTTTTTTCTTTTTTAGGTAACGTTTAGCCTACAACGCAAAATTTATCCGCAGGTTCCGTACGGCGCTATTTAACTCTCAGATGCTCGCCTCGCACGAGCAACTGTGCCAGCGAGAGACCCTGAAAAAAAGAAAACAAAAAAAAGTTACACGCCAGTGTCCCGCAACGTTGTCGCGGAACATTGCGGAAGGATATAGGAGGCCGGATGTATGTAGGAATAATTAAGCCGCAGGTATACTCTGCTCACACATCGTGTATACAAAAGACGCGGCGTTCGCTGCGGACGCGATGACAAGCATCTTGGATCGAAGCAGATTTGCGTCCGCTTCGAACATGTCCGCGGACAGTTTTTGTGCGACCGATGGGACCGTCCTACAAGAAAGGCCGCAGACAGTGTCTTGCACAGACTGTCGTTCGTATACGATGCATTGGCAGTGCGACCCGGGTGAGGTGAGTCTGTCTTCGACTGGCTTCTCAGACGCGCGTCCGCTCTGCAAGAATCACTCGGCCAGTGCAGCACGGCGGTCATTTCCATCGATAGTCTGCTCTGTTGGTCTGGAAAATCCCAGCCTTCTGTCCGAAGTGAGCCTTAGAGTTCCACGTGTGCCAACACTGCTTCAATCATCTTTTTCTCGACATTTTAGCCGCTTAAACCCGATCCAAAGATTGGCTGAGTCACTTTATAACCGCTACTCTGACACCATCGATATTTTTAACTCATGCTGGAGCAAGTTCGCAAACGCTCTTTGAAACTTCCTCTTGCAAAAAAAGGGCTGATCAGTTGAAGGGTTGATGTTCGTCAGTACGTTATCCGAGTATCTGCTTCTTCCTCTCACACCTGATGATGTCTCTGTTTTGGGGCTTTTGATTTCCCTCGTTCATTTGAGTGTCTTTCGTACTTGTTAATATTCTTAATCTCGGACTGGTGAACTACATTCCCCTTCTGCACTCGTGTGAATGTGTGTTTTTGATCGTTTTTTATTCGTTAAGTGTGCCAGCATTAAGAATGATTGGTTGTTCCTGGACACTATAATGAACACTGACTGATTATTATTATTATTTTTAATGGAATAGAACTCTCTAATGCTACTTCATACGCTACACTTGGCAGCAGGGGGAAAGCAATCGTGATATTTATAAAAAATTTTATGAATCGGACGCACTTTTATTTAAATCAGATTTACTCGATTAAAATTTAAATGATTCGATTTAAATCGCTAGCTGTAGCTAGAAACATATTCTTTGCGATCACGTACGTTTCTCAACGAGGCAGATTGATTGAGCGATTCCTCCGATCGCTGAAAACAATGCGGAAGAAACAATTATTGTGAATGTAAACTACACTTTAATTACCGACTTTTTATCGCTATAACTCCGCCATATTAGAAAAAAAAAACACAGCTTAATGAATTTACTATCTTTTTTTTTTTCTTTCTTGGCTGAATTGCAATGGGACAATACTTTTCCAAATTTCGTGTCTTTTTTTTTTTTTTTTTTTTTTTGCGTTGTGGTTTTGTTGAAAAAGGAAGTTACGTAGCTCACGACCGAAGTGGAAAGTAGAAATCCAGCTCAGCCTCGGAATTTGCCCAGCACTTCATTTTGCTCGTGTTCAGCTCTACATAAACATTTCTTGATCGGCGATTCTTCGATTTTAATACAAAACAAAGGCACATATGAAGCATAATATAAAAGACAACCGCAATTTTTTTTTTTTTTAGAATGAATTTTGTGGAAAATATTTGAATTAAAGCAAGATTTAAATTATGATATTAATGACTATTTAAATCTCGCTGATTTAAATTGTGATTTAAATCGTGTCCCTGCTTTCGAGTAATGACCCTCGAGCCATCATGGTGCTTCAAATCAATGGTTCTAGTTATCCGAAGCCTTATTTGAATTTCTAAAATCACAGAAAACGCTTTTCCGCACTCTAGAAATTTGGCTAAAACAGACCGCGATACTCGCAGCATAGCCAATTCAAGGGTTCTTGAACTCGCGACGTCGTAGCGCGGAGATGGAGCCCCGCGTTAAACGCAAGATTTTCAAGGATAGACCACCGCGCGAGAGCGTCTAATAAGTTATTTTTTACTTTCACCTTGTGCCTAGAAATCGGGTAAGCGAAAGAGAGGATAAGACACGCATAGTTGGCGGAGACGACGACAGTGACACAGCGCTCGAGGTTTCGGGACGAGTGTCAGCGAAGGAATCGCTGGGAGGTCTCGGCGGCCCTGGCACGCTTTCTTCCTCGGCCGTCCGCCCGTGCCTGGCGTGAGGAGGGAGGTCTCGCCTGACCTGGTATTTCTGCCGAGCGATGTCCGCGACGGCCTCTTGCCGAAACGAGACAGAAACAACCGAATCGTGCCTTGGTTTCGAATAGAATACTGGGCAATAAACGGGCTGCCGGTTCCGCTCATCAATGTATCCCACATATTCCAAATCACGGCCTTCAAACAATATAAATCATAATATTAATGGAGCGTTAGATTCTGCTACGCTATCATCACTTTGACAGGGGTCCTTAGCGCATGGAGATAACAGCCATGCTGCTCGGTTGAGCCGTGTGAGACAAGTGTTCCTCCTCTTCATTTGTCATCATGCTCTGAAGTTCTGAACTGAAATGTTCTTGTCGAATTATTTGACGTGTAAACTGCCGTTTCTTTTTTTTTTTTTTTTTAAGCTGCCAGTCTATGCACGTGGAAGAACGTTATGTGGCCAATTTTGCGTTACATATAGGTTTGCTTGTTCATCGTCAACGCTTGTGGGGGCCTTGTTGGCCCCCGTGTGGTTCAATCTGCCAGCGGACCCTAATGGCTAGACGTCGGTCGCCGCCATGGCGAGGACGAGCTGTCGGCGCCTTTGGTGAGCACCAAAGGCGCCGACAACTCGGGACCCAACAGGAGGACATTGGCGACGGTGGCGGTGGACGTCTGTGCACCCCCTTTCCAGGAGAGCGTCTGCGCCCGAGGGCCTGCACGTGCGGCGGCGGAACCGGACGGAGAGTTCCGGTGGAGATCTCCCACGTTGAGGAGAGAGGCTCTCACCTGTCTGGCGCGCGCGGCTGCCGCGGGAACAATGGGATGAAACTGGGAAGACGGGACATTGGGAAAGGACTCTCGCGCGAAAAACGGACGACGACGGATGGGCTAGGAGGTGGCGACTGCGACCTCGGGCGGCAGCCCGATGACTTGGTCCGGACCTTACCCTGAACCGGACCCTCGACAGGGATTTCCCCAAGATGTTGCGTGGTCTAGCACCGCAGAGACAATCGCCAGCTGTAGCAGTGGCAACGCACCCCCCAGCTCCAAAGGCTTCCTCCTCGAAGACCCTACTCGATCCCGGAACTCCCAAGCAGAATGTGAGTGTAATAAACCCTTTCTGCCGAGAGCTATGCCTTGTTATGTCACATTCATCCGAAGGCAGGGGACTTGGGAATTGGAAAAGAACCCTACACATTTCAGAGTTCCTGAAAAGGAGAATGCAAGTTTATTGTTTACGCCTTAGAGTTTGTGAGAAAAATAAAATACATTAGGTAGCGATCTTCCGTTTGCGAGAAAACGGGGCGCCCGAAAGAAAAATGTTGCATCTTCGAAATAATGTTGAAAAAACATGTGTTGAGCCGACGGGCACAAACCGCACTTTCTTTAGAGCTTAGGTTCTCCAAATATTTGGTCCGCAAGAGTGACGGCGGATTGGGAAAATTCAGTTATTCATCACCACTGGCAACTTCGAGATTGTCTCCTCGATACAAACACTTTGTGCGCAGTAAATATTTTTTACACATTACTATTTGATATAATGTACTTTCAAAATGTGTTCGAGTATTCACGAGGAAGTTAGCACATATTGCCGCGCGCGCAGCTGGCCAAGTAGGCAGCGCGCGCGAGGCCTAACGGTTATCGCGCTTCCTTTCCACGCTGAAAGCCAGGGTTCGATTCCTGGCCACGGAGGCACATTTTTGTTGACTCTGTAAAGTAATGTTCTGGTAAATTCGAGAGCCATGTTGCTTGTTCGAGGTCGGCGGAATGTTCTACACGCCGAACCTTCTACGCCGATTATTCCAGAAGACCACGCATGTACATAAGGGGCTCCGCGTGGCAGCAGAGTCGAACGCTGGGGCGAGACCGACTGTGGCTCGCCACGCGGAGCCCCTTATGTACATGCGTGGTGTTCTGGAATAATCGGCGTAGAAGGTTCGGCGTGTAGAACATTCCGACCTCGAACAAGCAACATGGTTCTCGAATTTACCAGAACATTACTTTACAGAGTCAACAAAAATGTGCCTCCGTGGCCAGGAATCGAACCCTGGCTTTCAGCGTGGAAAGCAAGCGCGATAACCGTTAGGCCTCGCGCGCGCTGCCTACTTGGCCAGCTGCGCGCGCGGCAATATACCCAGGCTCGATTATAAATAAAAGTTACTTCTCGTTGCCTTTTCGTTAGCTTATGCCAACGGGCAAAACAAAATCGCTTATTCCCAAGACGTAGCAACAACAAAAAAGCAGCGCGAAAGGGAAAAACGAATCTATCTCTACTCCCTCCTCCGTGTTGAACATAAAATAGTGACGCTTGAAATATTATTCTGTCAACCACTCTACACCCAAGTTCAATTTCCCATGTATGGTCCTTCTTTTATCGAGTTATGTTGGAATATGTAATGTAGGTTTATATCACGTCAAACTCAAACTCGTCTTCCTATAGCTTTTTCTTTTTCTGTGCTTTGTGGGAGTCCAGTACGCGCCAGTAAAAGCCAAATAGGGGGAAGAACCTTCTAACTGCCGCCGGAGCAACGCCCACGCGAAGCGCACAAAAGAGCCGCGGTGGCGAAATCGGAACTGGTGTTGCAACGCGACCACATAGATATGTTGCCACACCCTCGTTCAGACGAACGGTTGCAGCACATCCCATTGCAATGCTTCGTACTCGCTCAGCTTCTTTTTTTTTTTTCTGCTTTTAGCATTATCGCGATACTTTACTTTCATACGTGAACCTCGTAATTTGTTTTCTTTACTGGAGTTGGGTAACACTTTTTGTGTTTCTGTTGACTTCCTCATTGCCCCTGAAGTGAACTAACTCACCGAAAAAGGATCAAAAATACTTTTTTTTTCCTCTTTTAGTGGGGAATTTTGAACGGGAATGACGTTTGAGAAGACATCAGCAGCGCGTCTGTGTCGTGGGTGAGGGTCTGCTTCGTGACGCTGTTTTCCATGCGCTTTACTTTCCACCACGTTCCCCGGGAAGTCGGCTGTACACCCGAGGCGTACTCATAAAGTCGCGCCTTTTATAACATTAATTCAGTAATTAAAAGCCGCGAAGCAGTATGATTTAGGCGACTTTTTATTTATTTAACGCGGTGGCCGAGGCAAGCATGAACAGTGCTTCGCTGAGTATGCGGATAAATAATACGAGAGTAAATTTTGTAAGTAGTCACAGCGATAGCAACAACGCGCTAGGTGAAAGACACTAAGTGCTACACATCTACATTTATTAATTGCTGGCTGTGACAGGAATTCAACGAACAATAAATAACTCGCAATAATCAATAAAAAAAAAAACGCAGGCGAGTTGGTGATTGACAGTTATAGTTTCGGGTTCTCTATGGCCACGTAATGTGATTGTTTTAAATAAATATTAAAAACAACACTAACTTTTTTTTTTTTTTTTGCTATAGCATTGAGTGCGACGACAAAGGCCGGATTTCGTGACTGCTTCAAGTTGTATTTCATTCATTGATGTATGAGGGAAATACGATCATTTCATAAAAGCTCTTTTTTTTTTTAGTTTGTGTTAGTATTATTATTTGTTATGTTCTTTACGCACATTTCCAGTGGTAGTATTGTCGTGAAGTTGTGGTGGCGCGCGTGCTTAGTTTAACTTTATGTTTTTATTTTCTTCGCGGCTTCGCGACCGGACTGCGGGTCGCTCAGCAGCTTGGATCACATGCTCTGGCGGTGCCCCTCGTTACGGGGGCCCAATCAAGTCACCGAGGAGGAGTGGAGCTCTGCCATCACGAGTTCCGAGCTTCTCCCACAACTCCGGGCTGTCCAGAGAGCCCACGATGCGGCGGTGAGGCTAGGCCTCCCCGTCCCCACGTGGGAGCGGCCCGCGGTGCTGCCCTAAGGGCAGCGCTTCTCAGGACCTCAATAAAGTTCTTTGTCTGTCTGTCTGCCGCGGCTTCCCGAGTGTCTTTCGGCCGATGCCGGAGTTGAGAGGCCCCAAATGGGGTGCGTGCGACTGGGAACGCGAGCGCTGTCACGGTACACTTGCATAGAGCCCCGCTCGAGGTGTCGAGCGGCGACACGGTCCGCATCTTTCGTTGACATGTTTACGGCCCCCTGGTCCACGGACCGTCCTGCCTGAGGCTCTAGCTGTCGGCAGAAAACGGGCAGGGTCCGCGGAATTCGGAAATGGTTTCCACGTGTTGAGTAAGGTTTGCTTTTGGTGCCTTAAAGATTTGTTTTGTTTATTTATCTGCGTACTTTTCTCTTGCTCACTGACTCCTTGGTGCCTGCTGAATTTCGTTCGAACGTGTTTTGTCTTGGGTATGGTGTTCTTTTTGGGACGTTCATGATTGCTCTTGCAAGACCCATGGCTCCGAGTCTTTTATAGGTGCTAACCCTCTTGGATTGGTTGCCGTGGCTCCAGGATGCTGCTAAACTCAATATAAGCGGTTGTTAGAAGCCCGCAGTGAACTTGAGATAGCACGAATGGGTGGGTCTGCAGGACTATATATTTCTTCCTTTCCGAACACTTTCTCTCTCCTTCTCTCTCCCTCTCTCTCCCACAGAGGACTTGGCTCCTGGATACAGAGCCTTGACCATCACCCTGCATCTGGAGGACAGCCTGCACGACCGACTCCTTTCGGGTCTTCCACCCGCTGACTCGCAAACTTGGGAATCGTTATGGCTGTCGAGGAGTTTGAAGTCGCCCGCCTTTGTGTACTCCTATTTCTCGAGTTCGGGTGTGGTCCAGTGATCCCCCCCCCCCCCCCCCTTTACGGTAATGTACTCCCCCCCTTGTTTTTCCGAAGGCACCCTCTCAATTGACAACGACTCCTCTATTCTTAATCCCCCCCCCCCCCCCCCCCCCTAAATATTTAGACACTCCCCTAATTGAAATTCCTGGGGAAACCCCTGGTGTGGTCGGGCACCCTTCAGGGTGTGGTCGAGGAGGACGGCAGGGGGAAGTCCTTAGAGGTTAGGAGTATTTCTCCCAAAAGTGCATCGCCTCAATACTATGCCCGGACGCTTTGCGTTCCTCCTTGGTGTTGCATTTTCAAGGGGAATAATGACTGCCTGTTTGCTCTCTATTTTTGGTTCCCTGGTGGATTATTATTGAGTGCGTGTTTCTGGATGAAATGGTTGTTGTTTCATCGTTTGTTGCTGTTTCATTGTTTGTTTCATTGACTGATATGTGATTGATTCCCCCCCCCCCCCCCCCTTTATGTAATTTCCCCGAAAGAGGAAGAGGGAAAGAGGGTTCTTAACTCCTATAATTGGCGTCAAAGCGTGACCGCCTTAAAAGAGGAGCTCAAGTGGGAGCTTCTCCAAACTCGCCGCAAATGCCTTCGATTAAAACTACTACACGCGATCCATTACGAACTCTCTGGAATTGATAAAGGAACATACTTACTTGAACCACATTTCATTTCCCAAAGACGTGATCACTCGAGGAAAATTAGACCTTTCTCATCCAAAACTGACATTTTTAAACATTCTTTCTTCCCGAGCACTATTCAGAGCTGGAATGAATTACCGGAGGAATTAGTGTTAGAGAAAAACAACTCAAACATTTTTCAAGCTCTGCTAGGCCTTTAGCACTCAATGTATGCTGTCTTCGTTATGTGTTATTCCTTGTTACGTGTATATTGGTGCAACAATGAGCGCGTTTCTCTGCGTTACATTTTCGCAGGGCTGGTTTCATGTTGTTCTATGCCTTGCTGCAGGCTGCGAGTGCTTTTACTTAATGTTCTGTGACGCCCTTTGTTTTTCTTCTTTTTGCCCCTCCCCCACTATAATGCCTTCACGGGCGCTGTGGAGTACATGTAATAAATAAATAAATAAATAAATAAAGGACCTTTAAGGGTAAATAAATAAAATATGTAATGCAAAGAATGTTGTAATTCTTTTATATATAATTCTTTTATATATATATATATATTTTATAATAGCCGCATACTCATATTAGCATCTTCATAGAAGTACGAAGTAAGAAGAAGGTTCCAGTTTTGTTCGTTACCAGTGTACACCATTCCAATATTTACGAGTCCTCAGCCCAGCGTGCGATCTCCTCAGCCCAGCCCGCGCATGTTCGTCGCTCTGGAAAGCGAGCAAATTATGCGCCATACGCACCAAAACTGAAAAGGAAACGTAGAAACGTTTTCTGTCTCCTGTCGTTCTCAGTCGTGGAAAGATCGAATCGAGGTTTTGCCGCATACCAGAAGTGACGACATTGAAGATGGCTGCGCCCTTCTGGAAAAGATGTACACCGGTCAGGAGCTATATTTTTCGGAAAATGCAATTCGAAGATTGCACGCAATCTTAGAATTACGTTTTCAGGCGGCTGATTTTTCTGCGCGTTCCGAGTTTAGAAAAGTTAAAAAGTCTCAGCAAAATGTACACATTTTTTTTCTTCTTTTTCCGTTTTCTTTTTGCGGTGCGTTTATATTTGTTAACACAACTAATTCTGTTTGTTTTTTTTTTGTTTTTTTTTCGTGTAGGTTGCTTTTAATTATAAAAATATCTCGCACGACATTCTTTTTTTTTTTTTGATGACTTCCATGCTATTATTTGACCCTATCGAAGTTCGGTTAACCTTCAGAGAACGGGCATCTATTGTTTTACAGCAGCCCCCCGGGGCCATCACACGATCGGTTGGGGCGACGCGGGAGGCGTTCCGCGGGGGCGTCCTTGGCGGGAGCCGTCAAGGCCCTCGTTCTTCGACCGAAACAGCGGAAGTAACGAGGAGGAAGTGACGGCACCGGAACGCACAGCCATCGCCGCCAGACGACCGAACGGGGCCCAGCAGGCAGCAGCCGACGCGGCAGAGCCGCGGAGTCGACAGATTCGAACCAAGGACGTCGCGAATTTTGGCCGAATTTGAGGTTCGGCGGTTTCGGCGGGAACCTTCGAACGTTTGGGCGAGATTCGTCCGAGTTATGGTGAATTCCAAGGTAGATCCGGAGCGCTTTCCTCAATCCGCGAGGGAGGCGAACTTTCGCTCCGTGGGGCCCGCTCCAAATCGACGTGCGGGAGATGAACCCGCATTTTTGGAGCGATCGACTCGCCCGAGACAGTCGGCCGTTCGAAATGGCCGCTGTTCGAACTTGACAAGCCGACCAACGCCTCAGCCGACTGAGCTTTCCGACGACCAGACACAACTGTCAGTGTTTAGCTGCAGAAATAACGCGCGACGCAGGCCGGGCGAAAATATCCGTACCATGAAGCTCATGTCGCAAATAACGAGGAAAACGTCCGCTTTCGCCACGGTCAGATGCCTTTCGGCCGCCTCGAAGCGGCGGGGCGCGCACAGCTGTCGCCATTGGTGGAGTTCAGATGGCTGCTAAGACTTTAATAAACACGAGCAGGTAAGAAACCATCACTTGCACAGTCGTTGCCTTGTCTGTTCTCGCTTTACTGCACGAAAAAACGCCGGCGGCATGTTGTGTAAACAATCAGTGACGGCAAAATAAACAGGCCTAACCTTGCGTCTGCCTCCTTCCGATTTTCTCTCGGTCTTTTTATCGTTCTTCCTCTCACGGACCACACATGTCAGCGCTTACGATTTGCCACGCTCCAGTCCCGGCTTTGCAGTACCCCCGATATTCGCCAGGGCCGGTTTTCTCGAGGCGATGGTAAACCCATTTTGGTAAACCACGGTGCCTAGGAAGGAAAAAGTACCTAGGTACTGTAATAAACGGCTGGATATAGAACAACAATAATTATTTTTGATTGGGCAATAAGATGCGCCATCTATCGGTGAAACAAGCCTGTCATTTTGTTTATCCTCTTTTTCCGCTGGTTGGCATCGATCTAGTATGGTATTTTAAGTCAAAATATAGTAATGTTGTACTTGAAGACCAATTTATTTGCTTCCGATGGTACGAAGAAATTTTAGCTACTATGCTAGAGTTTGTCGACGAATAGTCGAAAATGTAAAAAACATCTCTTTTCAATATGTTTCGCCATAAACAACGCATAACTTTCCCGTATTTCTTCCAGACTGGCAACGCCGGTGCTGTAGTCTCGTTTTCGTTCCTTGCGACGCACGCTTCTGCGATTCTTGCTGATCTCAACTGTTTGCTCTCTCTTCCGTTTGCCCAACCGATCCACCGGTGACGAGAAGCTAAGCTTCTCGTCACCGTTGAATCGCTGGCCACCGGGGATATGTAGAAACCTCGATGCTGTCGGCATACTGTCGGCGCACTGTGAACAAAAAAACAGTACAATGTCTCAGCTGTTCACCAGGAACGAGGACTTTATTGAGGATAACCCCCTTTCTCCGCAAAGTAATCGCTGCTCACGAGTTGGCGTGCATAGTGTAACAAATTAAACGTTTTAGTATAAATATATACCAAAATTCGTTCGCAAAACATTTTTTTACTCACCATAAAAACACTTGCAAGGCTTACTGTACCGACATATGTCTTGGATCCCGGACTGCTGAAAAGTGATGCGTTCGCGGAATGCTGCCGTCGGTTAGTTTAGTTTGAACTATCGCTTTGCTTGACGTGCTAATAGGTTGATGGTGCGTCATTAATATAACAGCCGGATTGAAATGAATGTTCAGCAGAACCAAGCAGAACTATTAGCCCTCATTAAGCGACGTCGCGGCCATTTTGCTTCTAGGTACTGCTCCTCCCTCGGCGCCCCTGCTCTCCCCCAGTCACGTGGCCTAGAATTCCCTCTTCTAGGGACAATAGTTAACTTTAAGCCACGGTTCGCGTTCGAGAAAACGGGCCCAGGTAGGAGCGTTCGAGCCGTCACAATCCCGCGTAAACAACCGTCGCATCCAAACAGACCCAACCTGACGGCAAGGTCGGCAGTCTTGGGTAGTAACGCGTTACAAGTAACTGTAGTTCTATTACTTTTTCTGAAGTAACGACGAAAGTAACGACGTTACTTTTGTCGTTACTTTCCGGTGTTTTATGAATAATATATCACTGATCCAGTACAATTTAGATTTTCCTTGCACTTTTCAAATCGACTATTCCGACATTTCCGAGTGTCAAGTTGGCCTTTCACAAACCTGTGAATACGTTCTTTTTCACGAGTCACGACCCGAATATAGCCACGTGTAGGTATCATGAGAAAAAATCTAGTTATCTTTAGGCACGGGCTTGAACTTTGTGACTGAACACTACATCTTAGTGTCTTGAAGCACTACCTATTTAGTGGTTTTTCCTTTTTCTGTAAAAACGCTTTTTAATCCGGTGAATCAACCGTGAAACAACAATACACGCGGAGGGCACTGCGTCTGTTTCGTATTCTGATTAGCGCCAGTACTCCACACTGCGCATGTTTCGTATTTTGATTTGCGTGGCGAGGAAATGTTCAAACACTAATTTCGAGAAGTCACTTCTGCTAAGTTGCAATGTGAAGTAAAAAGCGTACTGTTTAATTTTATGCAATAAAACTTGGTGAGGGGCGTTTTCTGGTTTTTCCTATTTTTTGTGTTATAAAAAGTAACTGAAAAGTAACGTCGTTACTTTTTAAAAGTAACTGTAACTGTAACGAGTTACTTTTTTTGTTGCGGCAACTGTAACGGTAACTTCGCTACTTTTTTCTGAAAGTAACTGTAACTGTAACGAATTACTTTTTAAAAGTAACTTACCCAAGACTGCCGGTCGGTTTGACCAGTTGACCTCAACCGCCGAGTTAAAGGAAATGACGTAGCGCGCTTTGTCAACTTCCGCCAAGCTACATGTTCTCTCAATCCGCGGTCAAAATGCTAATGCACCGTTGAAGACGCAGTCTT